GGTACTTGTTTTATGAAATGGGAAAACAGGAATTGAAGCAGAGGAAAACTGGACTTACTCTTGGGTCCCAGACTTGGAACCCCAGTCTGTTGTTCTCATCTATCTGCTTCAGCAAAACTGGCTGTGGCCACTCCCTATAATAAGAGAACACAGGTAATGAGTCTTTTATAAATGCCTGTTTAGCAACATCAGGATTAGTAATGGTCACAAAGCATTCTGATACATACAACCTTTGAATGACAAGTTAAAATTACACATAACATTACAATATTGAACATTTTGAATAAGGCACTTACCACCTGGAAAAGACTAGAAAGAACTTGTGGATAAGGGTAGAAGCGATGGCATTCGGGTACAGCTGGCAGGTCCTGGCCACCAGCATGGCCCAGGAGACTCCACCCAGGAAACCCAGCACGTTGGAGTATACCCCTCTTCCTGTGGACAGACAGGAACAGGAAACACATGAAGGTACATTATGTTTAAGAAAAATGACCAGGTAAGTACTGACTGCTGCCTGACACTTGGGTCTTGGGAGATGGGATAAAGTCTGATACAGTAGAGAGGGGTAGCCAAGAGTCTGGACTATAACTTATGAGCAATGTCCCTTTATTCCATGTTTTAAATCAGAACAGTTTCACCCACTTTTCACCCAAGTAAGAATGATGAAGAACTCACTCTTGGCCCAGAGCTTGATTGCCCTAAGAGCCAGGCGGAAGTTTTCCCTGTTGGGCACCAGATGGAGCATCTCATCAGTAACCCTACAACCTGGAAAGACACATAGATCAACAGGAATAAATAAACATGACATCATGCATTATATACATGTCAACAAACACTGGACCTGTGCACAGCTTCTGGATTCAAACTAAGGAATTTCCTAAAAGTCATCAACATTGAAATAAACATCAAATCCTGGCTGAAGTTGTGTGTTTCTTTAAGAACAATCTTGACAACAAACTTGACCTTATGACCTACCATTTAGACTCCTCACACATCTCTGGTCCAGGTTCTTAAGGAGGACCTCCTCCCGAAGGTCCTGGTCCTCAGGAATTTGAGGTAACGCCAGTCGAGCAAACAGGATATCAAGCTAAAACAGATAGAAAAAAAACAAAAACATTCATATTGAAATTAATCAATAATGTATGGAGATATTTTGTTAAAGTTTTCTGCAATACATGGTTCATAATACTGAGCCTTTATTCTTCTATATAGCCAAGTTAGAAGCTACTAACTCATATTTTCTACAACCCCAAGAAATTTTTTGCAAAGTGCAGGTGGGTATTTTTAGTAAGCCATTCAATAAACAATGTCTTACCTCTACACCATCAAAGTCTAGTTTGATAACAGGAACAAACGCTTCTTCAACACCCTGAAACAAAGATGATCATAAAGTGAGTACTTCTGAAACAAAACTTTTACTCAAGTCAACCCTAATGCAACACAAGCTATATTCTTTTCACAATTATTCAGTATACAACTAAAGAAGCAACACAGAAGTAATGTACAACTGTAAGAACACTGCTCAGCTCACCCTTATATCTGTAGTTTCCTTCTGGTCTTTGAGGATTTCATAGAATGATGAAAAGAAATCTGATCGGTCGACATGACGAGGAGCTACACACAGGGTATCAATATCAGCACCTGGAGCAAAATTACAGTTAACAATGTTTTATACAAATATATTGTACATCAAACTAAAACCTACATGTATGTAAAGAGGAGGCAGACAAAGGTAAGTCACACAAGGAAAGTCTGATAAAAGTCATGTCAATGTAACACATCCAAATGATGACCGTATGACTATTACAAATTCTAAGAACAGTTATCAGTCTGACCTGCTCCATGGACCCCCAGCCTGTAGGAACCAAATGTGTAGATTTTCCCTCCCACTGTCTCAGCTATTGCAGGTGGCATGTTCTACAATAGACAAGAAACAAATACATGAACAATACATTATTACTGTACATACATGTGGTAAACAGCAGATGAATGAATGAATACTACGTACTTCATACATGTATACAAGCATAATCTGGAAATGATGCTTACCTTGGCTAGACTGACTTGTTTTATCCACTCCTTTACTAGTTTGTTCAACTTCCCCAAGACCACCATTCTGTAACATAAAGTGGTGACATGTGACCATGTGTAACAACATATCATAAACATTAGACACAAACACTCTTTCATTCAATGTAGCTGTTCCTGTAAACTGTCATGGAAAATACTAAGCTTTTACTACATCAGTTTTACTTAAGCAATATACCTCCTCCATCCTGACAAAACGATGTCTGTGCTAGTCAACCAAGCCCTAATAACTGTTAACCACTTGGAAAAAATGAAGCAAACGCTACTAACTAGGAGTGGGACAAACAAGTAAAATACACAAGTATTCTAACAAACTTAAGTATTCTAAATAATGCCAGTGGAAATACTTGCAAAGACAGTCCTACACTGGCTGCCCAACAATGGAAAAAGAAAGGGGAGACGACCAAAACTCCCATGGAAAACATGTGACACATCTGGAACACCTGGATGTTAGTTACCCCTGGTCCAGTCCAGAGCCACCCTTTTTGCCCTAAGTACCGCTACTGCAAACAGGCATGGGGGTCTAAGTAAGATCTAGATCTCATTGCTGTGTGTACTTACCTATGGGTGAGCCCCTCTTCTGTGTCAAACACATTGTAAGGCTTGAGTGTGTTCACCAGCTTCACGTTAAGGTCGATGTCAAACTTGGTGGGTTCTGACAGACTGATGGGAGATGTTATACCAGGGTACTTCCTGGGGGTTTGACTGTCCCCAGCTTCTTTACCACTGCAGAGAAAAAGTAAAACAGGCACAGGTAAATATTCACCTTGAGCCAGTAGGTATCCTCTGAGTACCTTCAGTGGACCTCACTTCAAGATCGCCGAATGCGATCAAGGCTGATCAACTTCTACAAGTACCACAATGGCTCACTGATTATTAACTGCTGATCAAAACCCACCCCCAGCTGTTTAAAACCGACACGACTCAACCACTCTGCAGCATATCAGCTGCCCAGATGCAGGACTCTCTATAGAGAGAGATCCTTTTTCCCACGTACAATCAGGGAATGGAATAGCTTGCCGGCTGACACTGCCCTCAGTAACAACTTAGAGGGCTTTAAGTCCAAATTGTAACCCCCTGAAACCCCCACTTCCTCAGTACATTTTCCCCATCCCCCCCTTGCGCAGTATACCCGACACGGCGACATAATCTTTGGCAAGTCGAAGGCGGTTGCCTATGGAAAGAAGAAGAAGAGTAACGACTAGTCTACTAACGAGGTTGTGTTGTGGGACAGCAGGAACAGTTGGTAAAATACATTAACAACTGCTACATGATGTTCCATTTCCAAAATGTGTTCATCAACTTCAAACGGAGGATGAGATGAGGTGGGCATGGTGGCTTTGAAAAGGTGCACTTAGGTGCACCTGTTCCACCATGCCCTCCATGTATATTATGTATGTGGTTAATTGTAATAAATAAATAAATAAAATAAAATACTGATCTGAACAGAAAAGTTTTGAGTCACACGTTTCAAGGCGAAACGTGATTCACCCACCATAACTGTCCAAACTCTATTTTCTAGCTGGCTGTTTATACTATATAGCCATAAAGACTATAATTATCCTTTAATTAAACTTTTCCAATGCAGAAAGGTAGTGGTATCGACATTGCATAATTTCTTCATACATCTACATAGATATGCAAATATTATCTGTGAATAACTTTGCCAGGCTGTTGAATATGAACAGAACAAATTACTTGTGGAGTAATGATGAACAAGGAAGGAGGAAATACTAGTACATAAGAATGTTTGTTCTTTACTTATGTAAGCAAGGACATTATACACAGATAATGTCCTTGATGTAAGCTATATGAAACATATGATTCTCTTGGCCAAGCTAACCTCACAGGTAAACAAGGTGAAAGGGTCACAGTGTAAAAGGCAAGGACTTCAAACGTCCTTGGAGAGGAAAAACAACTCATATGACGCCATTGGGGCCCTGACACCAAGCAACACTTCACACATAAATTTGCTGACGATGACGCGCATGCCTTGGCTGTTGTTTCCATGCAAAACGAGTCACATGGCCTTGAGTCAGAAGTACCCCGAGTTGGGACATGGTGACTTCATGCATATCTGTGTACTTTGAGATCATTCACATTTCTCATCATACAGAATTACACAGTCTGCACAGAACAAAGCAAAAACACGGCCAGAGTCATTTCTCACATCGCTTTGTTTGGAGCGCCATTTTCAAAACTCACTTCTCATTCCCTACTTTACGGAAGTAAGAGCACACCCGAAGCGGGTTACATGAGGACAAGAAGAGGCTACGTACCTTGCCATAGTGGCCATCGTGGTATCCCGGGGAAAAGGGTGCAATTTAGCTGACCATTTCCTTAAAATTTGTCCGAATTACGGAGTGGGAAAATGGCGGTCTGTCTTCCGGAAAAACTTGGAGTGTGAATGAAGTCTCGTTTGGACCACGTGACCAAATAGCTCCATGTCCTTTTTCTCTGCCAGAATCCCACTAAATAGTAATATACTTCATTTACATACAGCTATAGGAACATATGGTTATAGTTATACGTAATTTTGATCTTAACATACTTTTTAGGCAAGTTCCCAGAAGAAAATATGAATCTCGTCAAGTACGAGATTTTACGAGATTTACTTTTGACCCTGAAGAATCTGAGCAATGCACACTGGGAAAATATTGGGCATGAGATTCGAACCTTCGGAGTGGTACACCAACGTGTTTCGGTCAATTTCTCGTCTTTTTCTCGGTGATACGACCGGCGTTATCAGAAGAGTAAATACCAGAATATGTCATTTACGTAGTTGAATGTTTAACGGGGCGACACAAGGCGAAATGGCGGGTCCAACCGCCGTGGAGATGATACAACACCCCTCCCTGTTTTTGCGATGGATGCAAAGTGCATCGGGGAAGCTGCTTATCAAGTTTAAATACACGGCACTTCGAGGTTTCATCTTATTCCTGCTCCTGCTGCTAGTCTTCTGGATCTCCGTCTTCCTGTACGGAAGCTTCTACTATGCCTACATGCCAACGGTGTCCCACGTCCGGCCTGTGTACTTACAATTCAGGTGAAGAATGTTTGTTGTTACACAAGACAGGAAGTCACTCTGATGTTATCTAGCCCCAAGGGATGTTTTAGACGGATCATGCCCAGATGGAGCTGCCCAGTATGGAAGAGAAATAGAGAGAACAGAAACATGCAGCTGCGAGAGAAAAGAAGTATAATATATATAGGTTTTGAAAATAAGTAATGTCACATGATCCTCAATGTTTTAGAATGCAATTAATAGTAGCTGATTAGACTGACATGTATTTTTTTTTGTCTCTACAGCACCGACTGTGACAGTGTCAACTCACAGCAGGCTCGTCTCTGCTCCTTCCCATCAGCCAATGTCTCCTTCACCAGAGACCCAAGGAGAGATCCTAGAGAGAAGGTAAATATAAACTATGAATGGCACCCGGGCCTGTAAGTTTGTCCAAAAGGGCTGAAAACTACAATGTCAACTGGATCAACCACATATTTTCAATGTAGATTTGCATTTTGAGAACTTCTACATGCCGGACAATTCAGCACCAATCAAATCAGGTTGACAG